CCGCCCCCCACCCCCCCCCTCCCCATCCTCCCACTTCCTTGTGTTTTTACGTTTCTTCGCCCAATTGGCTCAAAGAAGACGCATCGACTGCCAAACTGATAAACGGTTTTCTGAGCCGTAGTGAACTCTGGACCGTGTTTATTTCAGTTCAGTTTGTTTCCAGAAACGTAAAAAGAAATTGGAAAAACATGATGAAAAAAGAGGTAGTATAACACATAAAGGTGTGTTTTCCTGTAATGTGACGTGCTAATTATAATAAATAGCTCGTGTAGAAGGAGAGTTGCTCTGTAGAGGTTAATGAATCCCTTTACAGCTTCAGTAACAGCTGAGGGAGAGGTGGAGGAGACCCTGCAGTCGGTCTGCGTGAAGCAGTTTATGGGTGAAAGTCGCCTTAAACGCCTCTCAGACAGTTATTGTCTCTTGAAGTTTGAGACTTGGTTCTGAAGGAGCTCTCAGGATGATTCAGAGGCAGACCTGCAGCTCTTTATATGGGACACTTTATACATCTGCCCCAAAAAACATGTGCGAAGCTAAATGAAAGAAAGAAAAATCGATTCAATCAAATCCACATGTGGCTGAATGTGGCGCCCCCGTATTCCTCCTGACACAGAGGAGGACGTGCACACGTTTAAATCAGGTTTATTTATAATAACACACATCAGAACAACATCTCACCTCCCATGTGTGATCAGGAGCAGATTTAAGTCGTCAGGTTTTTAACGTACACTTAAAGTTCTCTATAAAATACATTTGAGAAAAACTTTAGTTCGAGTTTATTAATAGCAGGAAGCAAGATAAGCAAATGTAATGTTCAGCTTCACGGGAGCCTGAGATGAGCTTTCACTCTGCTGAGGCTCAAACTGCATCATGGTTATGTTCTGAACTCAATTTAATCTGCGTCAGCCGAGTCACAGAATACCTGCGTGTGTGTGTGTGTGTGTGTGTGTGTGAGTGTGTGTGAGAGAGCGCAGGTGAACACATTCCTGTGCTGATTAAAGCTCACAGGATCACATCTCCACTATGAAGGAGCTCATTGTGCGTCTGCAGACGGTGATTTGGATCATTTCACCATTTTTCTTCTGCTGCTAACGTTCAGAACAGGAAGCTCAGGATAATAATTATTATTATTAAAAAATGTAGACAGTAATAATAATATCACAAAATAATAATAATATCTTGGTAATAATGATTATTATATTTTGATAATATCCTTAACCTTAGAATAAGTCCATATCTACACAGGGAGCAGGAGGCGGAGTCCGCCGTGTTTCTACAGAAGCCCAGAACGGACAAACCAAACTTTCACGTTTCTTTCCGTTACCTGCAGGCCACCGTAGTTCTCTACGCGCTTGTGAAACTGTGATAACGTGAGACGCTGAGAACAAAACTGTGGGAACAGCAGCCGCCGCCTGACTTCCGTTGCTGCTAAAGTAGTGTTATTATGGTCTGGATGAGCCCCGAGCTCACGTTACCGCAGGAAAGGGAGGAGTGAGCGGACGGATATTCTGTCGGTTGTTTTATCTGGAACTACACCGCTGGATGACACTAAATTCTACACACTGTCCCTTTAAAGACGCTAATATAGAGTTTATTAACAGGAGGAAACAGAGCATCTGTTGGACTATTTTCAGCGGCGGATTAATCCATTTAAGATGAACTACAATGTGTGTGTTGGTGGTGATGAAGGAACATGTTTTTATATATTAGTGGACACATTCACTGTTCATGGGATTCATTATGAATAATAAAAACAATCACTTATTAAGCTCCTGCTCCCATCATATCCTTCCGCTGAACAGTCAAGTCTGAACTATGATGTCAACAAGGGGAACTTGTGTGATGCAATAAAGTATGTTATTGATTATGCACAAGAATCTAAAATAGGATTAAAGGGGAAACTCCACCCGTTCTACACCAAAGTGAAGTCGGATTACTCATCAGGTCAAATACTTTCTGCTTTAGTAAACGACTGAAACAATAGTTTGATAGTCGCCAAATAATCTTCTGTCACAAATGAATTCATTGTTTAAACTCTACGATGAATAACTGAAGACAGAATCAAACCTTCAACTCAAACGTGATCATCAGACTCTGTAATAATAATAACGACAATAAACTCAAAGCTCATGCTCATTTGCTTGGTCGGCCTCTCTGCAGCTGAAGCGGGGGGGCATTCGTAGCGCTCTGAACTCCAGTGGGTGGGGAGGTTCTGATCCACAGCTGGTGGGAAACAAACTTTAGCTTTGAAAGAGCAGAAATCTCAGCATCTGGCCAAATAATCATAATCAACAAATACTGATAGAGTACGTATGTGAAGGTCTCCGTGGGCTGGGAGGTGCTGACGTCATACAGATGGAGAGACACAATTACAATCAAGGGTTTTTAACTTTTTGGACGGGTGGGGTCAGTGGGTTCTTTGGGGGTTCAGCGGGTTTTATGTGGGGTCAGTGGGTTCTTTGGGGGTTCAGCGGGTTTTATGTGGGGTCAGTGGGTTCTTTGGGGGTTCAGCGGGTTTTTTGGGGGGTCAGCGTTACCTTCTCAATGAGCAGGTGGAGCTGCTGAGTGACCTGCCAGCACGGGTCTCCACGGACCGCCGTGATGCTCTGCAGGTCGCCGCCCGTCAGGCAGGACACGCTGCTCCTGGCGAACGTCTCCTTCATCTGCAACAACAAGAAGGGAAACATGTCAAGAAAGAGCATCAAACAATGACGAACTTATGTTTTCATTTCTCTGATTTTCTCTTTATGGCCATGAAGCACCTTCTACACCTTCACTATCACTGTGTTAAACGTTTGAACCGGAGTCAACATGATGTCTTGGCATGTATCCCTGTCTGTTTTGTTTTGCTCGTCATGTTTAGGTGTTCCTGCAGCATCTCATGTGGTTAATGAGTAATTCCTGTAAACACACACTGACAGTGGAGCTGGACTGAATCCAGAGGACTCACCAAAACAAGCAGAGTGAGTCCAACACATGCACACACACGCACGCACACACACACTGAAAGGTCTTCCTGATAATCACAGCTAATCATAAAAGAGCTGCTACCTCTGCTGCTTCACTTCCTCCTCTGCGTGTTTTGCGAATGCAGAGAAAAGAAACGTGCGTGATTTTATGAAGCGAAACGTTTCTTTCCTGTGAAAGCATGATATGTGGCCTGCGTTGCATTGTGCAGAAAAGAAACACAGTAAGAAATGAGATGTTTCCTGGACTGTTTCTGCTCTGGAGCGCTGCAACAGAAGCAACGCGCAGAAAAAAACGAGTTCCCTGAAACTGTGAACACTCATTTACACGCTTAAGTTTGTAGAAGTTACAGTGAGATGTTACAGATCAATAAAAAAAAGCCTAGTTTACTTAAAGCTGCGTTTACAAGCCGAACACCTCGCGCGGTGCGCACTGCGTGGCGATGCGTAAAAGCGCCCGCGCGTCTCCGCTCCGCTTTTCTTTAAGTCCTTACCGAGTTGAGAGCCGTGGTGAAGTGCAGCACGGTGATGGTGACGACCACGGTCTGCAGCAGGACCGCCAGCAGCAGAAGCACCCCGAGCTTTGGACCGGAGCCCGTCATAACGACAGACCGCCGTCCGGTACCCGACCAGCGCTGCGACGTCCCACCGTGCCGTCCTTTAGGACTTCCAGAACAAGAACAATGGCAGAGGGCTGACTCCTTCACTTGTACCCTCCCCGTCCCCTGCAAGCAGCAGCAGGAGGAGGAGGAGGAGGAGGCGGGGACAACAAGAGCCTTTCTCCCTCTTTCAATTCCTCCTAGGGAGATTATTGTTGTGTTTCTGCGCTGTAAAAACACAGATAGCCTCTTTAGTTTATTGTGAAGCTTCATATCTGTGCTGCAGATCTCTGGACTGAATCTCACTGTGAGAAAAACACATTTTAACACGTGATAACAATGAATGAGTGGCACAGCGTGCATGACTTTTATTAACGATGTTATGGAGTTTATACTTAAGTCACTTTTAATAACATAAGTGACATCAATTCATATTTTCTCGCTCTCTGAAGAGGCAGATTCAGGGTTCATCACTGAGAGGAAAACACATAAATGAAGCTTTCCTTCAAAGGCTTTGGCTTATTTGCTGTACTCTGACTCGGACCACATGTATCTCAGCTGTCAAGTTGTTTAGATAAAAACAAGACTGACATTCCTGCCATTTTTTCTCTCTCCACATTTATCTCATTCTGTGCATCCAAACAGGTTTCTAAGAGCACACACATGTCAGATAGCTCTTATATGAACATATAATCATCTTCGTGTTCATATGAGTGATGGGAGGTGTGAATCACGTCTTATTAATGTGACATATATGTTTGGACAGACGTCCAATGATGAGATTCTTGGAAGCGTTTATCTAAAACACGATGTTCCTCTTTCACTCAACGTTGCTGCCACCGCGTTGAAGGATAAAATGCGATAAAGATGCAAAAAAATATTTGAGTTTAGACGATGAAGTGTCAGTTATGAAAGTCAAACACAATTCTTCAGTTGTCTCACAGCGTTGACCTGTCAAAATAAGATGGGAAACAGTTTTCTTACACAAAATTTGATTTAAAATGTGCTTTTTAAAAAACATGAAGCATGTTAAATTGACAATTTCCTTCAGGCCTTTATTTATTTAATTTTTGAATAAAATTTAAAATGCCACATGGTTTAAAAATCTGGAGGTTCAGATGGAACAAACGCTGTTAAAATATACACCGATATAAACCGTGAGAGCATTTCACACCACGATATCGCACGTTTTAATCATTCATTGAAGTCAATGTTTTAAATCATGAACATTGAAGTTGACACAAAGTTGGAGCAGATCTGAATTATGGTAGTAATAATGTGATGAAACAATGTGAGTTTAAATGGCTTGATGAACTGAAAGCAGGTTATTTTATCCATAAACAGGCTCTCAATTGATTTGTCTTGCAACAATATCGTGATATATTATTTGCGATATACAATAACAAATACGTTGGAGAAGATTTTATCCATATTGTCCACATAATGAAGTCAAAAGCGAACTTTTATTTCTGGGAATTTGTTAAGTTTCTTTATTTTTGGCGGCACTTTTGGTGTTAAATGCTCAGTGCAGTTGTACAACTTCATCTTCTCTTCTTCTCTTTCTTTTTATTTCATCAATTGAAGCCAACAGAACTACTTTCAGTTTCTTCTTCAGATGTTGTGAAGTTTTTTGCAGGTAGTTTTGCTCTTTTAACTTCCATTATTAATACTCACTAGTTCTTCTTCTTCTTCTTCTGTTTATTACAAACTGGAAATTAAAAGACACCACTTCCTGTGCACCAGAGGGTTTAACAGCTAATGTCTGGACCAATACATTCAGCAGGTTAGTCAGTGATGGAACCCTTTAAATTCCAGTTCAAATTATAAACTATACATTTGAAACACAGAACAAAGTAGCACCATAACTTAAAGACAAATAAAAGCATTAAATAGTAAAACTTTCACATTAATACCAATAAAAATGTCGAGTTTTAAAACCAAATGTCCCAAAAGCTTCTTTTCCCTTTTGTCACTAACACCTTGCTTGTCCATATATCTTCTCAAATATGTATTTACTTGGACATTTTCGCATTTTTTAAATACCTTTCTTGAGTATCTGGATTTATTTTTCAATTGACCTCTCAAGCATGTTAGACCACATCCAAAAAAAGCTCTGCAGAGCAAATCTCAATCAAAGGATGGAGACACGAAAACCACTTCTACACAATGTGTGAGTGCAGCCGTCGCGCATGTTATGGACGCGGTGTTGTGCAGCGAGGCGGGCTGAGCCTATAAATGGATCCTGGTCCCGTTTGGCTCACTCCCGCATCTGCAACATCTGGCCTCAATCTGAGTCCTACACCCCCCCTCCAGGGAGACGCTCTCCGCTTAGGTTTCACTCTGCAGCGCCTGCAAGGTCCTGCTGGGGGTAACGGAGACTGTGAACTGTGTGTGTGTGTGTGTGTGTGTGTGTGTGTGTGTGTGTGTGTGTGTATGAGGAAGAAGACGGGGGGCATCCTCGGTACAAGCCGGAGACAGACATAAATATCAAGTACAAACCTCAAAATATATCTTTGCCGTCTGATGACGAGCTTTTCTGTCCAGAAGTCTCCGCAACGTGAGCAGAGTTCAGTAGTCCCCACGATGTTCTCAAGACGGGCCTCAAACACACACACACACAAACACACTTGAGTGTATTTCTGAACAGCGGCCAAGTTTTTGATAGGAATACGAAGACGAGAACTGACCGACTCCCCCGCAAAGTCGACTCCCACCTAAACTGCCTCCCTCTGCCCTCGCTCTCCCTCTTTCTCTCCTTTTCCTGTCTGTTCGTATTTCATCTCTTCTCCCCCCTCCCCCCCCACCCCCTTGTTGACGATAAGTACGCACAGTATCTCTAAAAGCAAGTTGTAAAAGGTTTACAATGTGCATATAGTGATGCAGAAAGTAAGAATCATAATTTTTATGGGGTTTTGGCAACAAAACCGGGTATCTGGTCCAGCTGGATCCCAGGTGCTCCGCGATGTGGACTTAAGACGAGTTGGACGCTCGCGTGGACTTTAATAGGTCTGACTCTGACCAACAGTTTGGGTGCTTTTTGGAGACAGGTGATGCGTTCAAGGCTGCGAGTCACTTTTAATTTAGCTGTTGTTTAAAAAACATTTTTAACGATGTAAAAGTATGTGGTGGAGCGCAGGCAGCAAAGAGGGCTTCATTAAGGTTAAAACGCTGATGGGGCAATACATCCAAATCAATGGCAAAGATCACGATTACGACGGCTACAGGTGTGTACTTATGTGTATTACGTGTACAAATGTGTTTACACAGTCACATTATGACAAACAGCAGTTTGTTATTATAAACATTATCTGTTCAAACTAACCGGTTTAACTTTGAATGCTGCTCTTCCACATCATGGAGCCCCTAAAGCATCCCCTGCTTTATGGTCTGT